CTACGACAGTTGTACAGATCAGGCATGATCACGTGACTTCTCAGCTATCATTATCTGTGTATAGTTTTATGTTCAAATAAAGAACCCATGTCATTGTTTTACCAATACTTGTTGTATAATTGGCACATTTACAATAAACAGAAGAATGCAGCTGGAGAGGGAGTTCTAGGATTTAGACCCAGTCACAGTAAAGGAAAGATAATATAGTTCTAAGCCAGGATGGTATGTGATTTGGAGGGCAAGTTGTAAATCACTGTTTCCATTTTTTGATTACCTTTGCCTAAGTTTTATGTGGAAGTTGTGGATTTAAAAAGTGTTTTAAAAAGAGCCTTCCTAAACCGTTGTTGTGCAACTTGCAGGTAGTACATACTATTGTTCACATGGATCGATGGTGAATATTTAAGATGGTGTGGACAGCTTGTCAAGGTAACTGCATTGTCTTTGTTAAGGTTCTTGAGATTTGTTCGAGCTGCAGTCATCCATTCCATTACACTCCTGATTTAAGCCTTCTGGACAGGCTTTGGAGTGTCAGGCTATAAGTTACTCTTCATAGAACACCAAACCTCTGAACTAGTCTCATAGCTCCAGCACTTATATCCGAAAGGCAACTTCCAGGCGTTGGAGATTCAGCTACTGCCAAGGATATCAAGGGAAAATAGTTAGATTCTTGCTTGCTGGAGATATTTATGGCCTCGCACTTGCACAGCACAAATATCACTTGACACTAATCAGCACAAACATGAAGGCTGCCCAGATCTTGATTCAGTTTCTGGAAAGTTATAAGTAGTACTATCATTGTGCAATCATCAACTAATATCCCAATTTTGACTGTATGTTGGTGGGAAGATTATTGATGCAGTAACTGATGATGGTTGGGCCTACAACACTATCCTGAGGAACTCCTGCAGTGGTGTCCTAAGGATGAAATAATTGACCTCCCACAAGTGCAAAAAGAGTAAGTTTTGTCAGTCCCCTACTTCATGGTGTATCAAGTAGGTGGGCCACAGAATTTAATTCGAAATTGCTCTAGGTATCCTGTCACCAAGCCACCATTTGTTTACACATGGAAAGTCCTTGACTCTGGTAAAGCCTCATCAGAGTCAACTCCTAAAGTGTCAGATGTCTGACACTCCTGTTTGTATCAGTCAGCCAGGACTCCCTGATTGGACCAGATTAACAGCTGCAATCAGGGAACTCCTATTTTATGAAGTCCACTTGGTTGACCTTGTAACAATCACTATATCCCTCCCTCTGAATTCGAGAGCCAGTTCTTTATCTTATAGCTCCTCCTGGGGTGCTTTTTCACTGGGTCAGGTTCACCCAACTCTACCTTGTATACGGGTAGCATGTAACACACAGTCGCTCATCTTTTGCACGCGGAGTGTCTCGGAAGAAAATTATTCTCTTCTTTAAGCAGCAAACGGGTCGAGGTAGTGACATCTGCCAGGTCAATCTCAAATTGCAAGGTCTCTTCAACACTTGACGGAAATGGAGAACTCACAGGTTTCACCAACCTTTCGAACTGTTCCAAGGAGCCCAGCACATTTTGCTGCTGCCTCATTTGAGAGTTTGCAGCTTTCATATGGTCCACATGCGTGTTCAGGACCGTCATACCTACCCAAACTTCATATATTACTGGACCTGACTTCACGTCAACTATAATCGCTTGCCCATGCAGGACCGTTTCCATGGCTCCCACACCAATATTCGGCCCCTGTAGTAAACTGTCTCTCTCTCTTCTATCTGTCATTGGCAGTTTCACTCTCCTCATCCCCCCCACCCCAGGCCCAGGAAGATCAGATTTAACCTGGCGCAGTCTTCTCCCCATTAGCAACTCTGCCAGTGCCATCCCTGTACTTGCACGTGGGGTGGTCCTATAATCAAATAGGAACCAGGACAGTTTGGTATCTAGTGAAGCTGTGGTTGTTTCTATATACATGCCTTTAAAGTTTGAACTGGTCTTTCTGCCAGACCACTGGATGATGGATGGTATGAAACTGTCCTTAAAGTGGAATGGCATTCGACATATAAGAACTACTCAAATTCTCTGCTGTAAAGGATGGCCTGTTATCTGTGACCAAAACTTCTGGGAGACCTTATATTGCAAAAGATGCATGCAGTTTTTGTATTGTCGTCCCTGTGTTTGACGAATGAACTCTATGCATGCCCAACCATTTTGAGTGGGTGTCAACAATGACTAAGCATGTTGAGCCCATGTAAGGACCCGCATAATCGACATGTAACTGAACCCAGGGTTTTCCCAGCCATTCCAATGAACGTTTGGGAGTTGCTGATGGTAATTTTTGTCCTTGTTGGCATTCTTGGGCACTGTTGTAGCAATGTGGCTATGTCAACATCCAATCCTGGCTACCAAACATCACGTCTCACCAACATCCTCATCTTGGACACCCCTGGATGACCCCAGGGGAGTTCAGGTAGTATATAGCGGAGAACTTAGGTCAGGATCCCCATAATAGAATGCCATCCTCTATGGTGATCTGGTCTCACCGAGTTTAGAAAGGTTTGAATTCTGGTTCTGACGGCCCCTTGGATTCCCCCACCACCACCAGCCATTTCAGTTTTGCCAGGACCAGATCTTTTAGCGTCTGAAGTTGTCACCTCTGACTGGAAGCGTGTCCAGAAAATTTAAAACAATAATGGATCTTTCCAGTGGCAGTACCACTGGTGGCATATCTGCCAGCAGGAGGTGGCTCAATGCATCCACATCTTCTACTTGGCCTTCCAGTCGATGTTCCAAGTTGTAATTATATGCGTTTAGTATCAAAGCCCACTGCTGAATTTGGCCTGAGGTTATGGGCAGCACTGCTTTATCCTCTCTAGACCACGTAGGGGCTTGTGGTCCATTATTATCAGAAATCTTCATCCAAAACAGTAATCGTGGAACTTCCTGACTCCAAATATGACCGTCAAACCTTCCTACTCTACCTGGGCTAATTTAGTCTCCGCATTAGCCAAAGTCCATGATGCATACACTATTGGCTGTTCCTTTCCACTGGGGCAGATATGAGCTAATCCCACCCTGATGCTGTATGGGGCGCTATCGTGTGTCAATATCAGATCTTGCTTGAGATCACGGTGTGCCAACACCTTAGAGGATGATGTGGAGGTGCCGGTGTTGGACTGGGGTGGACAAAGTCTGACCCACAGTAGATAGCAAGTAGTTTAAAAGGGAGGTGCGATGAGTGAAACAAGGTAAGCTGCTAGATTCGAAAACATATCAATCCAATAGAGAAGACCAAAGTGTGATTTTGTGTTGTGGGTGTGTTTGTGTCACATACTGGAAGGGGAAAAGTGAATCAATTTATGGCTACATTTATCTCATGATACAGTGCAGCACATAACATAAGGCGATTGCCAATTCAGAAACCATCAATAAAATCTGACTGTGCATAATTGTGTATCTACACATACTTACATTTCAATGATGTGCAAATGAAGCAAGAGCAATGTGAGAAAAAAGAACTTTATCACATGGTGAAAGCACTGCTGTCTCACAGCGTCAGGGACTCGGGTTCGATTCTAGCCTTGGGTCTGCGGGGAGTTTGCTCATTCTCCCCATATCTGCGTGGATTTCCTCTGGGTGCTCTGGTTTCCTCCCAGAGTGTAAAGATGTGCGGGTTAGGTGGAACAAAAACAAAAAAAAGGAGGAAGGGTCAATCTACCTGAAAAGTTAACTCTGATTTCTCTCCACAAATGCTGCTGGACCTGCTGCACTTTTCCAGCAATTTCTGTTTTTGTTTCTGATTTACAGCAGCGCAGTTGTTTCAGTTTTTATTTATGCAGGTTAGGTGGATTGGCCATGCTAAAATGCCCATAGTGTCCAGGGATGTGGAGGCTTGGTGGATTAGCCATGGGAAATACAGGGTTACAGGGATAGGATGGGGGGTGGTGAGTATGGGTGGGAAGCCCTTCGGAGGGGTGGTGTGGGCCAAATGGCCTGCTTCCACACTGTAGGGATTCTGTGAATCAAAGGCTATTCTGAAGGAATGTGTTTAGTCAGAGAGCAGCTTGAGTGTGGAAATGCAGGTGAATTGTGGAGCTCGATAAATAGATGAGGAGAAAAGGAACTGTAGGGTATGTTGGTGGAGTTAGATGAAGAGGGCTGGGGGAGGCCAGGGTAGTGGTGGAGATTTCATTTTTGGTGCAGCAGATACTTTCTAATTCCTTGCAAACTTTCTAATTCCTCGAAACTCGCCAGTGAAATGAAGCCATCTGAGCAGCTGCCTCGGCTATTCCACTACTGCCCGAGCTTTTCCTTATACAGCACAAGCCCACCTCCAGCTTTACAAAATATCTTCCAAAGGCAATTTACATCTCCTCCATTTAGTGCTGTTTCTTTTTCTAGCAGGAGTTTAGACAAGGTTGGAAAAGAGCGAAACTGAGGCAAAATTAATATTCTGCTCCTATGATGCTGCTTGGCCTGCTGTGTTCATCCAGCTCTGCACCTTGTTGTCTCGGATTCTCCAGCATCTGCAGTTCCTACTATCTCTGATTCAAAATTAATATTCATTCATTTAAGAAATCGGTAAAACTTTTTTTTAAAAAAAGCTGCACTTCAAGCACTTTGCATTAAAATCCAATTATAAACCACCTTTGGAGTCCCTTTTGTGAAGTATTGATTCACACCAGCAGGGGGCAATTCAAAAGCTCCTCACTGTGCGCTGCGCCTTCTATTTGTTGTAATGTTGGGAAAACATCGAGAGAATCGAAAATAACGGCAGCTTGAAGGGAGCCGACAGGTTCACTTTGCAGGAGGCTGATCAATGCACAAAGTTGTGTTGTGATAGCTCCAGACATTACATCGCACACCGACACTTCCAAAGAGCTGAACGTCGGCAGAGTTTGCAGATAAGACTCATCAAGTGGGAAGATTTTGCAAAAAGGGCTGAATTTTAGTCTGGTTGAGGCGGCTGTACATCTGTCGACACTGCGTCGTTGTGCAGTTTACTTTTCGGTTAGAAGGGGAGGAGGGGGGTGAAATGTCCACCTCTCTCGCTGATCTGCTTCTAGTGCAATTCTTTATTTTAGGATTGACAACGACTGACAACATCCAGGGGCACCATGACCTGACAACAGCTGCGAGCGGAGAGAGGCACAACTGGCAAGAGGTACCAGAGCTCAGTGACCTCCAGCTGGGAAGGACGGCAATTCCGCAGGTGCCTGGGACTGACCACTGGCTTGGAGATCACCTGGAGGTCACAGGAGACGCCAGCTCGGATGCAGACAACCCAAACAAAGTGAGCTTTCCAAAACAAGCCGAGCAAAGGGCAAGGCGGGGGGCAGACCAAAAGAACAGGGTTGCCCCAGAAGAGGCGACTGCCGTGTCTCGCCCACAGGGCAACTCGGTGGAATCTCCCCAGGTCGAACCAACCCAGTTCCAACTAACTTCCAAGATCCCTTCGCTCAAAGATGAGCGGGTGCAGGTATCGGGGGGAGAAGCGACGTCTGAAGTTCTCAGCGAGGAAGTGAACGGAGTGGAAACAACAGCGAGGAGACTTCAGTTGGAGAATACCTTGTACCCTGTCACCGACAACACTTACAGCGCGTATGCGGTCATGTTTCTATCCTTGATTCTCTTCGCGATTGGGATCATTGGAAACCTGGCCGTGATGTGCATCGTCTGTCATAATTATTATATGAAGACCGCCTGGAACAATATTCTGGCCGGCATGGCGTGTTGGGACTTTTTTGTCATCTTCTTTTGTCTGCCGGTGGTCATCTTCAATGAGATCACTAAGAAAAGGCTGCTCGGGGACATAGGCTGTAAAGTGGTGCCCTATCTGGAGGTAAGGCTTGGCTTGTTTGGGGGAAGAATTGTCCTTTGGATAGAGTGATATGACACTTACCCGGAGATCCCCTCTGCTTGGTATTTCTGACGTTACATATTTTGTATTTCTGTGGAAATTCTTTAAAGAAAAAGCTTGCCCGTCACATCTCCTTTGAACTTTCCCCCTCTCACTTTAGATGCATGCCTGCTCGTATTAGACGTTTCAACTCTGATTGTGACTGTCACCTTATCTATGCATCCCATAATTTTATCAACTTCTATCAAGTCTCTCCCAGGTCTCCACCACTCCAGAGAAAATAACCCCAGAAAACAACAAGTTAGGGTTACTCAAACATGCTCAATATCTACCAACCACCTGTTAGAAAATATAAACAGTCATGAAAATAAATATATATACATATATATTTGATCTTTAAATTCCACCATTCTGTTTTCTAAAAAAGATGAAGTCCATAATTCTAAGGTGAAAACTCGCTCTAAGTTTTATAAAATAGTTACAGGTCCTGAATCTGAAACAAAAACAAAGTACTGGAGAAGGTTAGCAGATCGGGCAGGCTCTGTGGAGAGAAAAACAGTTAAATTTTCCACTCCAGTGACTGTTAGACAAGATTTCCACAAGATGCTGCCAGATCTGCTGAGTTTCTCCAGCACCTTCTGTTTCTGTTGCTCCAGGTTTTATTGTTTGGTTTACTGTTGGAAGTTAATTGATACGGCTGATACAGTGCACCTGCATAGGATATTACTTTACATATTTCTTATGTCTAAATTTGTCACCTGTCATTGGTTATGAGACTGCTCAACAGGGTCATGAAACAAAAAAAAAGCAGCTTGTAAGATTTTGTGTTAAATAGAAGTCAAATTTAAGTAAAGCTCAATTTAGCTGATAAAAATATTAGCAGTTTGAATAGGTTTTCCAAACTATGTACAGTTTTTACTTAACAAAGAATAGCAAAATAAAATAATTCCAAAAGTAACTTGGTGATATAACTTGCTGCAGTCCAATTTATGTCAGTTAAGACTGCATCAATCTTAGTTGGCAGCAAGGTGTAAACTTGTGAATTAGTTTACTCTGACCTTTCCAAATTATCGAAATATTGTGCCTCTAAATGTGATTACTTGCTGGTGCGCTATGTGCCACATTGAAAAACAGTAAAATTCATAACAGCAATTAAATCTTTCAACATCAGCAATAAAGTTCAGAGCAACATGCATATGATGGAGCTAAAAATCATCTTTGTACAAGTGCTGAATGTATGACAATGGATACATGGCAGTCCTTTGTTAGCACAGCAATGACCCTTGTAAATTATGCACGTTAGATAGAACTGCTTTCTTTGAGGATCAGCTGCAGGATGCTTTGGAGGAGCTACTCAGTACCAGTTCAAAGGATGCAGTATATTTTAGAAGTTCATTTTGTTTTAGAGTTTGGGCATTCTGCTATACTGGCTCTGAGGATGCTGAGACTGGTCTTAATTGCACCAACAGTGTGTTCATTGTATTGAACATGATGCCATGAGAACATTATATATAATAGAGAGAGAGAGAGGAACAACCTTTTTAGGGGTTAATTGAGGACGGTATAGAGAAACTGCTGTATGTTTAGAGACAGTTGTTTTTTTAAAAGGAAGAAAATGCCACAAGTGAAAATAGTTAATTCTTAAAGTTAGAACTAAGCACTAACATTTAAATGTTTAAATCAAACAGAAGATGCTGGCAATATTCAAGAGTCAGGCAGTATCTATGGACAGAGATGCTTCAAACAGTAACTCGGTTTCTCTCTTCACAAATATTTTCTGACCTGCTGAACATTTAAAGCAGTTCCTGATTTAATTTCCATTACATTTCCTACATGCAGTATTTTAGTTTTGCCCAAATCAATTGGTGAGAATGATTTTGTTTTTGCTGTTTTAATTAATTGCCCGGTTTAGTGTAATAATATTGCATAATAAGTACAGCTTAAAACACTGTGCAATTCCTACAACATTTAAGTGCATTGCTTGGGCAGACTGTATGATTATATTGCAGTAATTTGTAAAAGAAGAAATATTCATTACTTCAGACTTCAATACAAGATTAATATTAGCTTCCATTATTTTTCCTTTTCCAGAAAAATAACATATAGGTAGGAAAAGGGATGGGGACGTAAGGCAGAAATTCAAGGAGGTAGGGTGGAAGCTTAGAGCTAGAACAAACAGAGTTGTTATCTCTGGTTTGTTACCCGTGCCACGTGCTAGCGAGGCGAGGAATAGGGAGAGAGAGCAGTTGAACACGTGGCTACAGGGATGGTGCAGGAGGGAGGGATTCAGATACCTGGATAATTGGGGCTCATTCTGGGGAAGGTGGGACCTCTACAAACGGGATGGTCTACACCTGCACCAGAGGGGTACCAATATCCTGGGGGGGGAGATTTGCTAATGCTGTTCGGGAGGGTTTAAAATAATTCAACAGGGGGGTGGGAACCTGAATTGTAGCTCCAGTGTACAGGAGGTTGAGAGTAGTGAGGTCATAAATAAGGTTTCAAGGTCGCAGGAGTGTACCGGCAGGCAGGAAGGTGGTTTGAAGTGTGTCTACTTCAATGCCAGGAGCATCCGGAATAAGGTGGGTGAACTTGCAGCATGGGTTGGTACCTGGGACTTCGATGTTGTGGCCATTTCGGAGACATGGATAGAGCAGGGACAGGAATGGTTGTTGCAGGTTTAGATGTTTCAGTAAGATCAGGGAAGGTGGTAAAAGAGGGGGAGGTGTGGCATTGTTAGTCAAGGACAGTATTACGGTGGCAGAAAGGACGTTTGATGACAACTCGTCTACTGAGGTAGTATGGGCTGAGGTTAGAACCAGGAAAGGAGAGGTCACCCTGTTAGGAGTTTTCTATAGGCCTCCGAAAAGTTCCAGAGATGTAGAGGAAAAGATTGCAAAGATGATTCTGGATAGGAGCGAAAGTAACAGGGTAGTTGTTATGGGGAACTTTAACTTTCCAAATATTGACTGGAAACGCTATAGTTCGAGTACTTCAGATGGGTCAGTTTTTGTCCAATGTGTGCAGGAGGGTTTCCTGACACAGTATGTAGATAGGCCAACAAGAGGCGAGGCCACATTGGATTTGGTACTGGGTAATGAACCAGGCCAGGTGTTAGATTTGGAGGTAGGAGAGCACTTTGGTGATAGTGACCACAATTCGGTTACGTTTACTTTAGCGATGGAAAGGGATCGGTATATAACGCAGGGCAAGAGTTATAGCTGGGGGAAAGGCAATTATGAGGCAAGATTTAGGATGCATAGGATGGAGAAGGAAACTGCAGGGGCTGGGCACAATTGAAATGTGGAGCTTATTCAAGGAACAGCTACTGCGTGTCCTTGAGAAGTATGTACCTGTCAGGCAGGGAGGAAGTGGTCGAGCGAGGGAACCGTGGTTTACTAAAGAAGTTGAATTTCTTGTCAAGAGGAAGAAGGAGGCTTATGTAGAGATGAGGCGAGAAGGCTCAGTGAGGGCGCTTGAGAGTTACAAGTTAGCCAGGAAGGACCTAAAGAGAGAGCTAAGAGAGAGCTAAGAAGAGCCAGGAGGGGACATGAGAAGTCTTTAGCAGGTAGGATCAAGTAAAACCCTAAAGCTTTCTATAGGTATGTCAGGAATAAAAGAATGACTAGAGTAAGATTGGGGCCGGTCAAGGACAGTAGTGGGAAGTTGTGCATGGAGTCCGAAGAGATAGGAGAGGTGCTAAATGAATATTTTTCGTCAGTATTCACGCAGGAAAAAGACAATGTAGTCGAGGAGAATACTGAGATACAATCTATTAGACTAGACGGGATTGAGGTTCATAAGGAGGAGGTGTTAGCAATTCTGGAAGGTGTGAAAATAGATAAGTCCCCTGGGCCGGATGGGATTTATCCTAGGATTCTCTGGGAAGCTAGAGAGGAGATTGCAGAGCCTTTGGCTTTGATCTTTATGTCGTCATTCTCTTCAGGAATAGTGCCAGAAGACTGGAGACTAGCAAATGTTGTCCCCTTGTTCGAGAAGGGGAGTAGAGACAACCCTGGTAATTATAGACCAGTGAGCCTTACTTCGGTTGTGGGTAAAGTGTTGGAAAGGATTATAAGAGATAGGATTTATAATCATCTAGAAAGGAATAATTTGATTAGGGATAGTCAACACGGTTTTGTGAAGGGTAGGTCGTGCCTCACAAACCTTATTGAGTTCTTCGAGAAGGTGACCAAACAGGTGGATGAGGGTAAAGCGGTTGATGTGGTGTATTTGGATTTCAGTAAAGCGTTTGATAAGGTTCCCCATGGTAGGCTATTGCAGAAAATACGGAGGCATGGGATTGAGGGTGATTTAGCGGTTTGGATCAGAAATTGGCTAGCTGTAAGAAGACAGAGGGTGGTGGTTGATGGGAAATGTTCATCCTGGAGTTCAGTTACTAGTGGTGTACCTCAAGGATCTGTTTTGGGGCCACTGCTGTTTGTCATTTTTATAAATGACCTGGATGAGGGCATAGAAGGATGGGTTAGTAAATTTGCGGATGACACCAAAGTCGGTGGAGTTGTGGATAGTGCGGAAGGATGTTGCAGGTTACAGAGGGACATAGATAAGCTGCAGAGCTGGGCTGAGAGGTGGCAAATGGAGTTTAATGCGGAAAAGTGTGAGGTGATTCACTTTGGAAGGAGTAACAGGAATACAGAGTACTGGGCTAATGGTAAGATTCTTGGTAGTGTGGATGAGCAGAAAGATCTCGGTGTCCATGTGCATAGATCACTGAAAGTTGCCACCCAGGTTGATAGCATTGTTAAGAAGGCGTACAGTATGCTAGGTTTTATTGGTAGAGGGATTGAGTTTCGGAGCCATGAGGTCATGTTGCAGCTGTACTAAACTCTGGTGCGGCCGCACTTGGAGTATTGCGTACAGTTGTGGTCACCGCATTATAGGAAGGATGTGGAAGCATTGGAAAGGGTGCAGAGGAGATTTACCAGGATGTTGCCTGGTATGGAGGGAAGGTCTTATGAGGAAAGGCTGAGGGTTTTGAGGCTGTTTTCGTTAGAGAGAAGAAGGTTAAGAGGTGACTTGATAGAGACATACAAGATCATCAGAGGATTAGATAGGGTGGACAGTGGGAGCCTTTTTCCTCAGATGGTGATGGCTAGCATGAGGGGACATAGCTTTAAATTGAGGGGTGATAGATATAGGACAGATGTCAGAGGTTGGTTCTTTACTCAGAGAGTAGTAAGGGCGTGGAATGCCCTGCCTGCAAAAATAGTAGACTCGCCCACTTTAAGGGCTTTTAATGGTCATTGGATAAACATATGGATGATAATGGAATAGTTTAGGTTTGACGGGCTTCAGATTGGTTTCACAGGTCGGCGCAACATCGAGGGCCGAAGGGCCTGTACTGCGCTGTAATGTTCTATGTTCTATATTCTATATTACATTTTTAGGCAGGACATTCCAATATACTAAGTCTTGAATGATCATGTAATGTGCTTCCTCTGCCAATGTATGAATAATTACCAAGCTTTACTATACAGTAGATTCGTATAAATGTTTCTAATAACGACATAGACATTGATGCATCAAGGAATATTTTAAAGTTGTCTTTTCATTATTCGTTTGGCAATGTCTTATTTTACAGTGAATGTTTCAATAAAAATTATGGAAATATTTTACATAAACTGTGATTAACATCTTAATTTATGCTTTTTCTAATTGAACATGGAGTTTTATAAACTTTTTCTGGCGCAGAATGGCTGTTTTATGTAGCTCTATAAGGTGTTCCAACATTAGGGCATTGTAAAAAGATATACTATTTATGTATGAATTTATTTTAATTTCTAGGTCTCTTCTCTCGGAGTCACTACCTTTAGCCTATGTGCATTAAGCATCGACAAGTTTCGTTCTGCAACAAGCACACAGTCACAAATTAGGCTGATAGAAAGTTGTCTATCTATTGTGGCCAAGATGGCAGTCATCTGGATAGGATCCATGTTGCTGGCCCTCCCTGAAGTCCTTCTCTGGCAACTGAATCAAAAGACCTCCGTTGTCTCTGGGGTTATCACTGACTATTGCATCATCAAAACATCTTTGAATCTCCCTGAGCATATCTATGAACTTGCACTGACCTATGAGAATTCCAGAATGTGGTGGTACTTTGGTTGCTACTTTTGCTTGCCTGTCATTTTCACAGTGACTTGCCAATTGGTGTTGAGACGAGTAAGAAACACAGAGAGGAAATCTGACCTCAAGATTATTTCTCAGCATGCTCAGCATGAAAATCAAAAGAACAATACTTTGATTGGTCTGACTATCCTCTATGGCTTCTGCATTATCCCGGAAAATGTTTCCAACATGGTGGTGACCTACACCTCTCCTGAAGTCTCCAAGGAGACCATTGACTTGCTCAACATTATTAATCAGTTCTTCCTGTTCTTCAAGTCCTCTGTAACTCCAGTGTTGCTTCTGTGCCTTTGTAAGCCTTTAGGCAGAGCCTTCATGGATTGCTGTTGCTGCTGCTGTGATGAATGTGTTCCAGAGACCTCAGAAATTGATGTTCATGACAGCAAGCTAAAGACAGAAATGGCAACTATTTTCTGTGATAATTCCAAGGAAACACCAACAATGATGACCCTCGGTACTCAATGTTAGTTACAATCCTTCACATTCAGCCTGCATCGTGAAGGCTGAATGGTGAAGCATGGTCATTTTCAAAAACACAGTTAACTCTTTGACTTAGTGGTGTTCTTTTTACTGCCCGAAATGAGCTAGTAAAATAAGGTGAAGTTTAGTTAGCTCCACTAAGTTTCTGATGTGTGAATAACTAATATTTCCTTTCAGTTTAAGCTTTATTTTAGACAGTTAAACCATAAAAAGCAATTTTTAAATGAAATATAGTCAAAAAGTATTAAAAAGTAACTTGTTGCAGAAAATATTAGAAATTCATCCATGTAGTATAAAGTTCCCTGTCGTCAATCCCTAGAAGATCAGTGCCTAACATTCTAACTAAAACTTTTCATTTAAAACATGGAAGATTGTTTTTTTCCAGTTTTACTTGTGATACATTGCTATCATGTTGAGAATGACTATCAGTTGAACATACAACAGTCCCTATTATTAACAAGACTGCAGTGAATGAAGTAATCTTTAACATTCTCCTAATTCCTAGATCTGCACTTTTATAAATAGTGTTTTGAACCCCTTACAGTGTCAGAAAGTATTATTTAGACACACATTTCCAGATTTAATAAATAAATAGAATAATAGCTGTTTTTATATTCACAATCTTATATGTTGATGGGGAAACCAGCTGCTGTGCAATTTCACAACAGGGAAATAATTTGTTAGCTTTACGGTATTGGCTAGTACACTGTCAAATAAAAATATGAACTGGTTTCCTTGGTTCTAACGTGTGTTTTGTTTTATTTCATAATGGCTTTTATTTATTTTACATATATTTTATCAGTGCAAATTGCACTATTGGTAAGAGACTGATTTATCTCCCAGTTTTGTACTGGCAGTTCACTAAGTATCTAGAACAGTTGGCGACTAGCCCTACATTGTAGTCTCAAATATCTGTACAAAGCCAAACTCTCAGGTTTTAGATGGCCTATTAAACTATCTCAACATTTAAGGCTGAAGTCAGCAATGATAGAATAAAATGTCACGTGATAAGCAATGAAATGAATTTTCATTGACCAATGACAGAATATTTCCTATCAACATTCATCAATTCAGTATTTTTTTTAATTCCAGAATTTGTCCTAGTTAATGGCTAAGCATATAAACCAATAAATTCCAATTTAGGCTAAATCAACTGGCCTCAGCTATAATGCTGAGAGAAGTGCTACAATTGTTATTCACGCTCCAGGATTAAAATAAGGAAAATCAGCTGGAAGTCTCCCTTTTTTGATAAATCAACCTAATCAGAAGTATTATGATACACTTTTGGAGGCATTGGGACTTGGACTCAGGCCTCCTCCTAGCTCAGAGATAGGAACACTCCCACGGTGTCACAAGAACCCCAGCTGGAAGTCTTTTTGATGGCTAATCAAAAAACTCCTGCTCCTTGTCAGGTTAAGTACACAAACAGGCTCTGCTTTAAATGGTCCAGAAAGGATCATCGTCTTTTGTGACTATAGGTAAGGTCAGAATCAGGTCCATATATAGATAGAATTGGCTTTGTTGTGCTTCCCTTCCACCCCTGTAATGTAACAACTTATTGAAGAAAAATAATTGCAGAGATACCTCGGTGAAGAAAACAAGAATGAACCATACAAATTATGTAGCCTTGAAACATTTCCAAAAATGGTACAAAATGCTTTCATCAGAGTTTAGTGATAGAACTAAATCAAGGATTTGAATCATTTTGTCACCATGCTCCGCTTTGGCAATGTTGAATGACAAGCTTGAATAAACTTCAATATTGCTGCTCCAATTCAGGACTGGTAAGCGTGCGTTTCTATGGTCACATGGTAACAGCTATTGAAAAAGCCTGAATAACAAGCAAGGAGAAGTCACGGGTAACTAATTTACAAAATGGGTCTGCAGTGTTCTGCACAGTTGAGCCTTAGATCAGATGTATGCTGACAGATCAGTTGCTAGTAAAGGTCTGGTACTGGTAAATGTCACGGTGTCTTACTGACACGTCTGCTGTTTGGATCTTCCAATCATTTGCTGCATGCAATGATTTACTCGAGGAATGGTAATAAGCATTTTTCACCAAACAAGCCAAAGATAATAAAGAGACAAAAGATATGAATAGGATAGTCAGCCCCACAAATGACAATTATATTAATTGCTGATGGTTACTGGCATTTTTTTTTTTAATAACTGCAAATAAAATCATGATAGTATATCTACAATCAACAAAGCAACAAATTTCTGAACTTGAGAAAAACCTCATCAAATCCTCAATTGTGTACATATAAATTAGCAACAATGATTTTTATTTAGCTTTAGTGTGAAATCACCTGACACATTAGAGTAGTGACACATTGCACCATGTAATACAAAATACTATTTCACCTTGTCCCTTACCAGATCATTACTAGCAACTGATCTGTCAGCATACATCTGATCTAAGGCTCAACTGTGCATCATGCATACTGCATCACATTCACAATCTTATTGGATCATCTGGCGCAGTACTAGTGGAGGGGCAAGGTGCTGTTAATGTAATGAGAAAAATTAGAAATCATATTAATCTACAGTGCATTTCCACACCACCTAGTGACAGAGTAGGTATTAAATATGGAGAGAGGTCAATGCAGTCCATCATTTACTCCTTCTTCTGTTCCTTATGGTGTGGGAAATTTAAGCGTGTGGAAGAAAATAAACAAAGAAATAAGCAAACCAAAAAAGAAACAGGAAAATTAATACACTGCTTTGTAAATCCCTGAAAACCAAAATGAACAATATATACAGTATAACATATTTTGTATAAATTTGTTGTAAGACTGTAATGTTAAATATTTTTATTTGATTGAGTAGGGAACTGTGTTTTTTCCACCTCTTCAGGGAATGAGTGACATCAAATTGATAATCTTCATCACTAAGACAATGAGTAGTTAAGAAAATATTTTACATTGTTAAGCACACTATCTAAGTGAAAGCTGAGTTTCAGCATTCTTAATTATTGGGATATTTTATTCAACTGATTAGCACTTGCATCTTGGATGTTGGATGTGGAAGGCTTTCCCAGAGGAGTGGGTTGTAACAGAAAATATCAGAGGTTTTAAAAGAGAAATTGATGGGTATTTGAAGCCAGCAAAAAATTCATGTTGGGGACCAGAAAGTTTTTTTTTGGTTGGTCTAACAAAGAGCCAGCACAGACATAATGGGCTAAATATGGTGTAAAGGCACTATGATTCTACAGTTTACCCCTTTAACTGTTCTTGGACCAATATGTTCTACTGTGACACATCAAGATTTTATTCTCCCATGTTTTGCTTAATTTAAGGAAATTTAATAGAAACACTTAATAATTCCACACAGGATTTCATATGCTTTTCCATCTGAAACCATGGGTGCACCAGGAATAATGCTTATAGCATTTCTCAAGTGATCAGGGCAGCACGGTGGCTCAGTGGTTATAGCATTGCTGCCTCAAAGCGCCAAGGACCCTGGTTCAATTCGACCCTCAGGTGACTGTCTGTGTGGAGTTTTCACATTCTCCCCATGTCGGCGTGGGTTTCCTCCGGGTGCTCCAGTTTCCTCCCAAAGTCCAAAGATGTGCAGGTTAGGGTGGACTGGCCATGCAAAATTGCCCGTAGTGTTCAGGGGTGTGTAGATTAGATGGGTTATAGGGGTATGGGTCTGGGTGGGATGCTGTGAGGGTCGGTGTGGACTTGTTGGGCCAAAGGGCCTGTTTCCACACTGTAGGGATTCTGTGATCTATGATTTAAATGTCAGCTGACCAGTCAAGTAAAGTTCAAGGGTATTAATCCAGATCAAGCAATTATCATACTCTAATACAATAAATCTTTAAATCAGACCTTTACAACCATAAATGGCTATGCCAGTGGATTAACTACAGATTACTTGCTCGATTTATTATAGAAGCCGAGACTTAACAAAGGACTCCTGGTTCAGGGATAGGGACACTACCACAGTACCAAAGCAGCCCCATGTTTTTCAGGGTAGATATTTTTAATAACCTGTTCAGAGATGTTATTATACACCTCTGGAGCAGATGGGACTTGAACGCAAGCCTCCTGGCTTCAGAGGTAGGGATGTTACTGCTGTGCCACAAGAGCCCCATGTTCTTCAGCCCAACATCCTTCAACTGCTTTGTTGATGACCTTCCCTCCAACATAATGCCAGAAGTGAGGATGATCGTTGCACAATTTTTAGTATGATTCGCAATTGCTCAGATAGTGAATCAGTTCATTTGCAGCAAAGATTAAACAGCTTTCAAGCTTGAGCTGATTAGTGACAGGTAGCATTTGTGCCACACAAGTGAAAGCAATGACCATTTCCAACAAGACAGAATCCAACCATATCCCCTCGATATTCAGTGGCATTACCCATCACCAATGCCACACCATCAACAAATAGAGATTACCATTGACTAGAAACTATACCAAAGTGCCCAAGATGCATGTGCTGATCATTTGAATAAAATATCCCAATAATTAAGGATGCTGAAACTCAGCTTTCATTTAGGTAGTGTGCTTAACAATGTAAAACATTCTGCTGAATTTCACAGAGCGGTACTTGGACAAAAATGACATCCAGCCAAAGAACGAGACATTAGGACAGGTGAACAAAAGCTTGTCTGATGACATGTCATGGCACACTTTAAAAGGAGAAAAAGAGGCGTACAGTTGAAGAGGCTAGGGAGGGAATTCCAGAGCTTAGGGCGTAGACTAGCAGCTGATAAGGGTAACTGCATGCAAATGATTTTACTCTAATACAATAAATCTTTAAAGTTTCCCTCCAAGGCACACTCAAGCTTCACTTGGAAATGTGTATTGGTTTCCTCATGCTGAGTAAAAAACGTGGAAATCTCTCCCAACAGCATTGTAGCAGTATCTATACTCAGAGACGGCAACAATTCAAGAAAACAACTCCCACCCCATTTGCAAGGGACAGCAATAAATGCTGGTCTTGACAACAATGACCACAATGAATACAGTAAAGAACTGCAG